CTACACCTCTGCTGTAGCAGACGGACAGAAAATATGGCATCTGTCCAGAACCGCCCTTTCCTGAAACCGCATTGGGGCTCCACAAGCCTCTCCTCAGCGTGCCTGGCAAGGCGATGTTGAATAATCTTTGCAAGGACCTGTCCCGGCACACTGAGGAGTGAAATGCCCCTGTAGTTGTTACAGTCTGTGCGGTCCGCCTTCTTAAAGAGGGGGACCACCAGGACATCCTTCCAATCCTGCGGAACCCATCCAGTGGTCCAGACTGTTGTTATGATGTCATGTAGGGCAGTCTATGCACAAACGCCACCCTCCCAGGCATTTAGATTGAGAGATCATCTCTGCCCGGTGCCTTTCCTGGTCTCAGACTCTCGATCGCCTTCAGTACTTCCTCAACAGATGGCACCTCAGCCAGCCACTCACAGGGGGTGACTTCCTCCTCCAATATTTGAGGCACTGCAGCCTCAGCAAGGTCATCCCCACTTTGTGCCACGTTGTTTTCCAGGCTGAGGGATTTCCACTCCCCCAAGACCTCACAGAAATGCTCAGCAAATCTGCAAACCTGTTCCTGGGGGTCGGAGATTGGATCACAGTTCTTTCCCCTAATGATGGTAATAGGTGTGGCGCTGCAGGTTACTTTTGAGGCAGACTCCATCTCCTCAGCGACCACCACCCATCCTTGCAGCGCCTCACGGCTCTCCGAACCTCCGAGCAAAGGCTGCGGTAAGCCTCCTCATTCTCCGACGTGGGATGCTGTAGCTGATGACAGTGGGCCTGTCGCTTTTTCTCAACCATCCTGAACACCTCCTCTGTCAGCCAGGGTCTCTGGGGAGGTCTGGACCGCGTACCCAAAGCAGCCATTGCAGCTGCATGAGTCACAGTCCTAAACCTCGCCCATTTACCTTCGACATCAGGAGGAGTGGGGGACGATGCCAACCCCAGCCACAAGCGACGATGAAATTCTCACTTGCAACTTTCATCAGCTAGCTGAGACCATGCCACCTTGGGTTTGAATGGGGTCCTGGGTGTACACCCACCACCGGGGTGGAAGAATGGCAGGCGCATCTTACAGATGACTAGTCGATGGTCAGAGGGCAGATCAGTTCCACGGTAGGTCCTGGTGTCAAGGACATGGGCTCGCAACCGCTGTTCCGTCATTTTGTTGTCCAGCAGATGGTCTTGCCTGGACCCGGCGTGCATCCATGATGTTGTGTGGATGCGCCGATTCCGGAAAAGCGTGTTGGTAATTACAAGCCCATGGGTTGCACAAAAATCTAGCAGCCTCCTGCCGTTGTTATTGAGCTGACCTGGCCCATGCCTTCGAATCACTCCAGACCAGGTGCCAGCATCATGACCAACTCGGGCATTGAAATCACCCAACATGATGACTCTATCCCGAGGGGCCACTTTAGCTAGCACCTGTGACCGGAGGTCCTAGTAGGCATCTGACTTATGGCCTTGCCTGCATTCCTCCACGGATGTTCATCTTCGGTGGGGGCATAAGTAACCACGACCACCACTCCTCGCCTCTAGTTGATGGGAAGGCGAGCCCAAAGTAGCCTGGGGCTTACAGCTTCCCACACCTCACCGCCATGCTCCCACACCCCCTTCATTCTTTTGTTCAGAAGAAGAGCCACACCCTGTTGTTTGGCAGTCTCCTGCCCCGAGAAGAGGACTGTCCACCCCTCATGGTGGCAGGAGCCAGAACTGGTCCACCGGACCTCCTGAATGCCACATAGATCCAGGCGGTACCGGTCCAGCTCCCGACAGAGGAGTGGCAGCCTCTCCTCCGCAGTTCAAACATTCCACGTGGCCACACGAAGTGGCTTTTCGTTGTTTCTGGAGGAGCCCAGAGGGTAGATATTCAATCTCCTGGCTCCGCCAATTGGGGTTTGGCCAGGAGACGTCATAGCCGCCTGTCCCCCCGGGGCCTCCGGCACAAGCTTATTAGTTATATATTAAAGTCGTGGTTTTCTGGTAAATAATTGAAGGTGGAGGGGTTACCAGCCCCTCGCACCCGTCCAGAGCCCCATATTTGGCCGCTGTGGTGGCTACCAACGCCATGAGGGCAAAGGTCAAAATCAACATTGGTCCTCTCCCCACGGCACTGCCCACCACAGCATTCCTGTACAGCACCAGCGAGGAGGTAGGGGGTTGTTTTTGCCGTACACCTCCACCACCTCCACCTCAACCACCTCCACCTCCACCACCACCACCTCCACCTTTACCACCACCTCCTCCACCTCTACCACCACCATCCACCTCCACCTCTACCACCACCTCCACCACCTCCACCACCTCGACCACTACCACCACCACCTCCACCAAAACTACCACCTCCCCCATCTCCACCACTTCCACCTCCACCACCACCACCACCACCTCCACCACCACCATCCACCTCAACCACCTCCACCACCACCACCACCATCTCCACCTCTACCACCACCTCCTCCACAACCACCACCACCATCCACCTCCACCTCTACCACCACCTCCACCACCTCCACCACCTCGACCACTACCACCACCACCTCCACCAAAACTACCACCTCCCCCATCTCCACCACTTCCACCTCCACCACCACCTCCTCCACCTCCACCACCTCCAACACCACCACCTCCACCAAAACTACCACCTCCACCATCTCCACCACCTCTACCACCACCTCCATCCACTACTACCTCCACCTCCACCACCTCCACCACCATCCACCTCCACCACCTCTACCTCCACCACCACCTCCATCCACCACTACCTCCACCACCACAACCACCTCCATCCACCACTACCTCCACCACCACCACCTCTACCACCACCTCCTCCACCTCCACCACCATCCACCACCACCTCCATTCACCACTACCTCCACCACCACCACCTCCACCAAAACTACCATCTCCACCACCTCCACCACCTCCACCACCACCTCCTCCACCTCCACCACCATCCACCTCCACCACCTCTACCTCCACCACCACCTCCATCCACCACTACCTCCACCACCACCTCTACCAACACCTCCACCACCATCCACCTCTATCACCTCCACCACTACCTCCACCTCCACCACCACCACCTCCATCCACCACTACCTCCACCACCACCTCTACCACCACCTCCTCCACCTCCACCACCATCCACCTCCACCACCTCTACCTCCACCTCTACCACCACCTCAACCACCATCCACGACCACCTCCACCACCACCACCTCCAGTCACCACTACCTCCACCTCCACCACCTCCACCAAAACTACCACCTCCACCATCTCCACCTCTACCACCACCTCCTCCACCTCCACCACCATCCACCACCTCCATACACCACTACCTCCACCACCACCACCTCCACCAAAACTACCACCTCCACCATCTCCACCACCTCCACCTTTACCACCACCTCCACCACCACCACCTCCACCAAAACTACCACCTCCACCATCTCCACCACCTCTACCACCACCTCCACCAAAACTACCACCTCCACCATCTCCACCACCACCTTCACCACCTCCACCACCTCCACCCGCTCCTCCACCTTGCTCCTCTCTCCCCCTGCTCTGTACACGTGGCAAGATCCTTGCCAGATGTTTCGCTATTTGCCCCGCATCACCAACACCACCACCTCCACCACCACCACCACAACCACCACCTCCTCCACCACCACCATCACCACCACAACCACCACAACCACCACCACCACCATCACCACCACCGTGGTCTATCCACTGCTGGATGGTTATGGTGGTGATTACACTGAAAGACAGGCAGAGATCTCGCAGAGTGGAGACATCATCACCAACACCAATCTCCATCCAGCAGTGGATAGGCCATGGTGGTCTATCCACTGCTGGATGGTGATGCTGGTGATGGCTCAAACCCTGGGGGTGATCTCCTACGGCCTCAAACCACCCCAAATCGCCCTCTCTCCATCAACGCGGGTGGGTGAGTGGGTGAGTGAGTGGGTGAATGAGTGGGTGAGTGAGTGAGTGAGTGGGTGAGTGAGTGAGTGAGTGGGTGGGTGAGTGGGTGAGTGGGTGAGTGAGTGGGTGAGTGAGTGGGTGAGTGGGTGAGTGGGTGAGTGAGTGAGTGAGTGCGTGGGTGGGTGAGTGGGTGAGTGGGTGAGTGAGTGATTGAGTGGGTTGGAGAGTGAGTGAGTAGGTGAGTGAGTGAGTGGGTGAGTGAGTGAGTGAGTGGGTGAGTGGGTGAGTGAGTGGGTGAGTGAGTGAGTGGGTGAGTGAGTGGGTGAGTGAGTGGGTGAGTGGGTGAGTGAGTGGGTGAGTGGGTGAGTGAGTGAGTGGGTGGGTGAGTGAGTGAGTGGGTGAGTGAGTGAGTGAGTGGGTGAGCGAGTGGGTGAGTGGGTGAGTGAGTGAGTGGGTGGGTGAGTGAGTGGGTGAGTGAGTGAGTGGGTGAGCGGGTGAGTGGGTGACTGGGTGGGTGGGTGAGTGACTGGGTGGGTGAGTGAGTGAGTGACTGGGTGAGTGAGTGACTGAGTGAGTGAGTGGGTGACTGAGTGGGTGACTGGGTGGGTGGGTGACTGAGTGGGTGACTGGGTGGGTGGGTGACTGAGTGGGTGACTGGGTGGATGGGTGACTGAGTGGGTGACTGGGTGGGTGGGTGACTGAGTGGGTGGGTGGGTGGGTGACTGGGTGGGTGACTGGGTGGGTGGGTGACTGGGTGGGTGGGTGACTGAGTGGGTGGGTGGGTGAGTGGGTGAGTGGGTGGGTGAGTGGGTGAGTGGGTGGGTGAGTGGGTGTGGTGTTTAGTGAACATCGCCACTTGGGGGAGACAAAGGCGGCCGGGCGGGCGTGATGCCGTCCACCCACCCCCACTTGCCCATACAGCCCTGCTAGGGGCTACCTGGGGGAGCTTTAGATTCGTCACGGCAACCTCCCCCCACTCTCCCCCCCACTCTCCCCCCCCACTCTCCCCCCCACTCTCCCCCCCACTCTCCCCCCCACTCTCCCCCCCACTCTCTCCCCTCTCCTCATTTCCCGTGCCCGTCGTCAACTCCGTCAGCAGCACCCCGCGACTCTCTCTGCCTGCAGAGGTGAGTTGGTAGGGAGGTGCTCTATCTACTGCTGCCCTAAGACTTACCTAAACCCCCCCCCCCATCTCCCCTCCCCCCATCTCCCCCCCATCTCCCCCCCTCCCCCCTCCCTTTCCCCCCATCTCCCCCCCCCCCATCTCCCCCCTCCCATCTCCTCCCCCCCCATCTCCCCCCTCCTTCCCCCTCCCTCCCCCCCTCTCCTCCCCCATCTCCCCCCCTCTCCCCCCCATCTCCCCCCCATCTCCCCCCTCCCTCCCCCATCTCCCCCCCATCTCCCCCCTCCCTCCCCCATCTCCCCGCTCCCTCCCCCCTCCCTCCCCCCCCAATCTCCCCCTCCCCCCCATCTCCACCCCCTCTCCTCCCCCATCTCCCCCCTCCCCCCCCATCTCCACCCCCTCTCCTCCCCCATCTCCCCCCTCCCTCCCCCCTCCCCCCTCCCTCCCCCCCCCCATCTCCCCTCCCCCCCATCTCCTCCCCCTCCCCCCCATCTTCCCCCTCCCTCCCACCCATCTCCCCCCTCCCTCCCCCTATCTCCCCTCCCCCCCATCTCCTCCCCCTCCCCCCCATCTCCCCCCTCCCTCCCCCCCATCTCCCCCCATCTCCGCTCCCCCCCCCCCCCCCCCCCCCCACTGTGTGGACTTCAAGGGCAGCTCCTAACCACTGCCTCTCTCTCTCTCTCTACGGCTTGAAGGGTGAGTGGCGAATCAGACTCCATCCACTGCTGCCTCGAACTGTCCCACGGCTCACGTAGTGAGATGTTGACTACCTCGCCTGGTATACAGGAGGTCGTGGGTTTCTGTGAGATGTTGACTACCTCGCCTGGTCTACAGGAGGTCGTGGGGTTCTGTGAGATGTTGACTACCTCGCCTGGTATACAGGAGGTCGTGGGGTTCTGTGAGATGTTGACTACCTCGCCTGGTCTACAGGAGGTCGTGGGGTTCTGTGAGATGTTGACTACCTCGCCTGGTATGCAGGAGGTCGTGGGTTTCTGTGAGATGTTGACTACCTCGCCTGGTCTACAGGAGGTCGTGGGTCCTGCTGTATATTTGGAGTCTGTGTCTCTCTCTCTCTCACCGTGGTGAGATGTTGACTACCTCGCCTGGTCTACAGGAGGTCGTGGGTCCTGCTGTATATTTGGAGTCTGTGTCTCTCTCTCTCCATGGTGAGATGTTGACTACCTCGCCTGGTCTACAGGAGGTCGTGGGTTTCTGTGAGATGTTGACTACCTCGCCTGGTATGCAGGAGGTCGTGGGTCTGTGTGAGATGTTGACTACCTCGCCTGGTCTACAGGAAGTCGTGGGTTTCTGTGAGATGTTGACTACCTCGCCTGGTATGCAGGAGGTCGTGGGTTTCTGTGAGATGTTGACTACCTCGCCTGGTATGCAGGAGGTCGTGGGTCTGTGTGAGATGTTGACTACCTCGCCTGGTATACAGGAGGTCGTGGGTTTCTGTGAGATGTTGACTACCTCGCCTGGTATGCAGGAGGTCGTGGGTCTGTGTGAGATGTTGACTACCTCGCCTGGTCTACAGGAGGTCGTGGGGTTCTGTGAGATGTTGACTACCTCGCCTGGTATACAGGAGGTCGTGGGTTTCTGTGAGATGTTGACTACCTCGCCTGGTCTGCAGGAGGTCGTGGGTTTCTGTGAGATGTTGACTACCTCGCCTGGTATACAGGAGGCCGTGGGTTTCTGTGAGATGTTGACTACCTCTCCTGGTCTACAGGAGGTCGTGGGGTTCTGTGAGATGTTGACTACCTCGCCTGGTCTACAGGAGGTCGTGGGTTTCTGTGAGATGTTGACTACCTCGCTTGGTCTACAGGAGGTCGTGGGTTCCGTGAGATGTTGACTACCTCGCCTGGTATACAGGAGGTCGTGGGGTTCTGTGAGATGTTGACTACCTCGCCTGGTATGCAGGAGGTCGTGGGTCTGTGTGAGATGTTGACTACCTCGCCTGGTATACAGGAGGTCGTGGGTTTCTGTGAGATGTTGACTACCTCGCCTGGTCTACAGGAGGTCGTGGGTTTCTGTGAGATGTTGACTACCTCGCCTGGTCTACAGGAGGTCGTGGGTTTCTGTGAGATGTTGACTACCTCGCCTGGTCTGCAGGAGGTCGTGGGTTTCTGTGAGATGTTGACTACCTCGCTTGGTCTACAGGAGGTCGTGGGTTCCGTGAGATGTTGACTACCTCGCCTGGTATACAGGAGGTCGTGGGGTTCTATGAGATGTTGACTACCTCGCCTGGTATGCAGGAGGTCGTGGGTCTGTGTGAGATGTTGACTACCTCGCCTGGTATACAGGAGGTCGTGGGTTTCTGTGAGATGTTGACTACCTCGCCTGGTCTACAGGAGGTCGTGGGTTTCTGTGAAATGTTGACTACCTCGCCTGGTCTGCAGGAGGTCGTGGGTTTCTGTGAGATGTTGACTACCTCGCCTGGTCTACAGGAGGTCGTGGGTTTCTGTGAGATGTTGACTACCTCGCCTGGTCTACAGGAGGTCGTGGGTTTCTGTGAGATGTTGACTACCTCGCTTGGTCTACAGGAGGTCGTGGGTTTCTGTGAGATGTTGACTACCTCGCTTGGTCTACAGGAGGTCGTGGGTTCCGTGAGATGTTGACTACCTCGCCTGGTATACAGGAGGTCGTGGGGTTCTGTGAGATGTTGACTACCTCGCCTGGTATGCAGGAGGTCGTGGGTCTGTGTGAGATGTTGACTACCTCGCCTGGTATGCAGGAGGTCGTGGGTTTCTGTGAGATGTTGACTACCTCGCGTGGTATGCAGGAGGTCGTGGGTTTCTGTGAGATGTTGACTACCTCGCCTGATCTACAGGAGGTCGTGGGTCCTGCTGTATATTTGGAGTCTGCGTCTCTCTCTCACCGTGGTGAGATGTTGACTACCTCGCCTGGTCTACAGGAGGTCGTGGGTTTATGTGAGATGTTGACTACCTCGCCTGGTCTGCAGGAGATCGTGGGTTTCTGTGAGATGTTGACTACCTCGCCTGGTCTACAGGAGGTCGTGGGTTTCTGTGAGATGTTGACTACCTCGCCTGGTCTACAGGAAGTCGTGGGTTTCTGTGAGATGTTGACTACCTCGCCTGGTATGCAGGAGGTCGTGGGTTTCTGTGAGATGTTGACTACCTCGCCTGGTATGCAGGAGGTCGTGGGTCTGTGTGAGATGTTGACTACCTCGCCTGGTATACAGGAGGTCGTGGGTTTCTGTGAGATGTTGACTACCTCGCCTGGTCCACAGGAGGTCGTGGGTTTCTGTGAGATGTTGACTACCTCGCCTGGTCTGCAGGAGGTCGTGGGTTTCTGTGAGATGTTGACTACCTCGCCTGGTCTACAGGAGGTCGTGGGGTTCTGTGAGATGTTGACTACCTCGCCTGGTATACAGGAGGTCGTGGGTTTCTGTGAGATGTTGACTACCTCGCCTGGTCTGCAGGAGGTCGTGGGTTTCTGTGAGATGTTGACTACCTCGCCTGGTCTACAGGAGGCCGTGGGTTTCTGTGAGATGTTGACTACCTCTCCTGGTCTACAGGAGGTCGTGGGGTTCTGTGAGATGTTGACTACCTCGCCTGGTCTACAGGAGGTCGTGGGTTTCTGTGAGATGTTGACTACCTCGCTTGGTCTACAGGAGGTCGTGGGTTCCGTGAGATGTTGACTACCTCGCCTGGTATACAGGAGGTCGTGGGGTTCTGTGAGATGTTGACTACCTCGCCTGGTATGCAGGAGGTCGTGGGTCTGTGTGAGATGTTGACTACCTCGCCTGGTATACAGGAGGTCGTGGGTTTCTGTGAGATGTTGACTACCTCGCCTGGTCTACAGGAGGTCGTGGGTTTCTGTGAGATGTTGACTACCTCGCCTGGTATACAGGAGGTCGTGGGTTTCTGTGAGATGTTGACTACCTCGCTTGGTCTACAGGAGGTCGTGGGTTTCTGTGAGATGTTGACTACCTCGCTTGGTCTACAGGAGGTCGTGGGTTCCGTGAGATGTTGACTACCTCGCCTGGTATACAGGAGGTCGTGGGTTTCTGTGAGATGTTGACTACCTCGCCTGGTATGCAGGAGGTCGTGGGTCTGTGTGAGATGTTGACTACCTCGCCTGGTATGCAGGAGGTCGTGGGTTTCTGTGAGATGTTGACTACCTCGCGTGGTATGCAGGAGGTCGTGGGTTTCTGTGAGATGTTGACTACCTCGCCTGATCTACAGGAGGTCGTGGGTCCTGCTGTATATTTGGAGTCTGCGTCTCTCTCTCACCGTGGTGAGATGTTGACTACCTCGCCTGGTCTACAGGAGGTCGTGGGTTTATGTGAGATGTTGACTACCTCGCCTGGTCTGCAGGAGATCGTGGGTTTCTGTGAGATGTTGACTACCTCGCCTGGTCTACAGGAGGTCGTGGGTTTCTGTGAGATGTTGACTACCTCGCCTGGTCTACAGGAGGTCGTGGGGTTCTGTGAGATGTTGACTACCTCGCCTGGTCTACAGGAGGTCGTGGGTTTCTGTGAGATGTTGACTACCTCGCCTGGTCTGCAGGAGGTCGTGGGGTTCTGTGAGATGTTGACTACCTCGCCTGGTCTACAGGAGGTCGTGGGTTTCTGTGAGATGTTGACTACCTCGCCTGGTATACAGGAGGTCGTGGGTTTCTGTGAGATGTTGACTACCTCGCCTGGTATACAGGAGGTCGTGGGTTTCTGTGAGATGTTGACTACCTCGCCTGGTATACAGGAGGTCGTGGGTTTCTGTGAGATGTTGACTACCTCGCCTGGTGTACAGGAGGTCGTGGGTTTCTGTGAGATGTTGACTACCTCGCCTGGTATACAGGAGGTCGTGGGTCCTGCTGTATATTTGGAGTCTGTGTCTCTCTCTCTCTCTCACCGTGGTGAGATGTTGACTACCTCGCCTGGTATACAGGAGGTCGTGGGTCCTGCTGTATATTTGGAGTCTGTGTCTCTCTCTCTCTCTCCCCGTGGTGAGATGTTGACTACCTCGCCTGGCCTACAGGAGGTCG